GGTGGGAACACACGGGCAGTTTGGCATTAGGCTCGTCATCAGTCTCCTCGCCCTCATCCGTCTCCTCCCGGTGATCTTCCCAGAGCTCAGCTTCCAGTTTCTCTCTATACAGGCACTGTCGCACCTTCTCGAAGGAGGGCACCACAGCCTGTACTAACTGTGCCCTCTTCTGGAGGGAAGTGGCCACGCACACGATCATAATTTTTCCTTCCCTCTGTTCTGATGTTTCCAAGTGACTCTGGGCAGCTCGCGCAGCCTCACATGCCACACTTTTGGAATCCCTCACATCCTCCAACTCCTTACTCAGCTGGGTGACTTTTTCCCGGAGCTGGACATTTTTTTTCGGCCCCTAACCGCAGCACGTGGCCAGCAGCCACGACAGGCACCCCTTTTTGGGTTTACCCCAGGCAGCAGCGGCAAACCTAGCCCAGTGATCGGATACAGTTCTCGGGTCACTCCAGGCAGGCCTTAACCTATCCTTATCCCACCTGGGATTCTCCGTCCCTGCCACTTCTTTAAGCAAAGCCACCAACGGGGCCCACCCAACTCTCTCCATTCCAACCTTTCTCTTTGGACTAGAGCCTCTCAATCCTGTTCGTGACGCCAATTTATGTCCTAGCTGCCAGTGGGAGGGTTCGGGATTGAAAGAGTGGCTGGGGGTATGTAAGGTTTATTAACTTAACAAACACACAACTACACGTAATATAACAAGACAACAATGACAGACAATAACAATTTGCATCAGCAACTTATCGGCAGTTTTCTCTGATGCCTGATGTACAATAAGTTGGTTTTTTGTTGTTGTTGTTGGGGTTTTTTTTAACGAAGCTCAGTAAAGTTAGGCGTCTTCGATCTTTGCTGTCCGAGGGGTACTGGGAAGGACCCTGGTATTCAGTCCTTGGGCTCCTCGAGATCTACGGGCTTACTGAATCTAGGTTAGCAGCTAATTTCTAAATTAGTAGCTTCTCTTACAATGCTGCATCTTCCTTCTGATAATTTTTGTATGTGCTAGCTAATTTATAACTTTTGAGCTACGCTGTGGGCCCACAGCCACTCACTACAAACTTTCCTTATGACTGACTAATACCATTACAAGCTTTGGCATTTTTTTGATAAGGTTAATTTTAACTCTGCTACTACATACAAGGCTTCACTACTTTCAAGGCCTCACTAATTTTACAAGGCCTCACTAATCTTTTACTTTAATTAAACTCTTAGCGGCAACATGCAGCTCTATACATAAACAAACAACACGAATCACCTGGTTTAATCTTCACAGAGCATTCAGCAAGCACCTTAGACACAATTTTAGCTGTCACAGTGTGGAGAAGGTGTGGATGTGTGGGGAGGTTGTGGGGGGGTGGATAGGTGTGGGTGTGGGGTGAGGGAGCATGTGAGTTTTTCTGTGAGGGGCTGTGTGTGGGGGTAGGGTGGCTGGAGTGTGAGAGGGGGTGGGGGCTGTGTATATGGCAGTGTGGGGGGGGTGCATGTGTATGGTGGGGTGTGCTTGTGGAAATCGCCCTATGAATACACGTGTGCACACGCGCACACACACACTGTGCCTCCCTCACTACACGCACGCATGCACACACACACACACACACACACACACACACACACACACACACACACACATTCTCTCTCTCTCTCTCTCCCCCCTCCCACATTACACACACACATGTGCGCTCTTGGCCTCAGGGTATCGGTGCAGCCCCATGCTCCCACAGTCCCTGTATGCAGCCCAGGGCCATGTGGTGCTAGGGCAGGCAGAGGCTTCTGGCTGGGGTCTGGGACTGGACCAGCCTTTCTCCTGAGTCCTGCCAACTTCCCCTGGGTCCTACTGCCCCTGGCTCCTGTCATCTTTGACAGGCAGTCAGGACCAGATGCATATTAATTTTCTAAACTTTTTAGGTCCCCTGCGGGCTGGAAAGAATGGCCTGGTGGACCGGATCCGGCCCGTGGGCCGTATGTTGCCCACCCCTGTGATAACTACTGCATTGTAGACCAGGATCTTAGTTTCCATCTGCAGATCTTAGTCAGAAAAGACACAGTGAAGCAGCTTTCCAAAGGATATGCTGGAACAGCAAATCCTGTGTTCAATTTCCATATCAAGACTGACTGACTAGGAGAGGTGACTGCCAAGGTATGGGAAATGCTCAACATTTTCCAAGGGTTCTCCACCAGTGGTTATGTGTGGGGGAAAGAGGGGCAGCTTGTGTGGGGCAGGCTGATGGAGTACCTTGGTCTTCCCAATGTTAAGTTAAGGGAGAGTCCCAGGCTGTGACATGCGTTATGCAGAATAGTGCAGGGTCCATTAGCAAATGCAGATGGCAGTAACAAACAGAAGGCACAGGTGAGCAAACACCTAGATAAAATGGCACTCTGACAGGAAACCACAGTGACAAAACCTCTCCCAAGACAGCCACCTGACTGCTGAGGTCAAGAAGTTCCCACACGGGCCAAAGCAGCCTCATGGGAAAGCACAAGTCCAGCAGGCAACATCACATCCACCATCCTGCCTGACTTTCTCAGAGCAGACCCGAGCCCACTTCACACCACATATTCCACTGCTGCTGCTGTCAATAAAATGAGTCCACACTTTGTAGAATAAAGGGCCACATTTGTGAGAGAAGTCAGGCCTAGATAAGTGTCTGCTTGTGCTATGAAGAAGCCTTCTCTGCAAAAGGCCCTTAAAATAGGGACTAACTTGCCCCTGCTACTTCATGGTACTTTCCATCCTGAATGCAGCACATTTAGCTGGGGTCAGGCAGCCAGTTCTGTGGAAGGCACAGCTGCACTCACCAACCTCCCTCCTCTCCTACACCTATAGGCAGCTGCCCCTTGGCTCTGAGAGGTTGGATCCTTTTGTGCCAGGGACACAGTCGCATCAGTTGGTTACATTGTGCTTTCTGGGGGCTCTCTGCCTTTAACTTGAGCCAAGGTAGTTGCCTTGCAATAGGCCTGACCATACTCCCAGGTCCGTAAGCCTGTCACTCTCCTCAGACCCAAATCCTCTGCAGTGTGCCTGCCCCCACTTCCACTATCATGCATCTCCCATCTTGCTGGCCAGGCAGGCAGCCCTGAGAATTGCCTTTCAAGAAGCCAGGTATGTCCCCATTTCCTTTTCTGTCTCAGCCCCCTGTTCTCATAGGCGCCAACTCTATGGGCGTTTTGGGGCTTAGGAACCCCCGCCAAAAAAAAATTAGCAGGTGCTCAACATCCACCAGAGCCACTTGCAGATGTTTAAAAAAAAGCACTTTACCGGAAGAAGGAGCATGTGACTTCAATTGGCTCTGCAGCATCTGTAAGGATCAGGTGCCTCATTGGGGCTTTTTGGCACTTTCATCTAAAGCTGTTTGAATCAGCTATTTGATAAAAGTGCCAAAAAAGCCCTACTAAAGTACCTAATCCTTACAGACACTGCAGAACCAGGTAGAAGTAATGTGCTGCCTCTTCTGGGCCTGGGCGGGGTTCAGTATGGGCACAGAGTTAAAAATATAGTGGTGGGTTTTTGGGGTTGTTTTTTTTTTTTCTCTTATGCCTGCAAGCACCCACTAGTAAAAAAAAACTAGTGGCTATGCCTGTTCTTACACCTCTGCCTTACACAAGGTCTGGGGCCATCTCTTTCACCCTCTATGCAATTTTGCACTGCACTCCTGACTTCCCTAGGTAGAGCTCTTCTGGAGGCAAGGTGGTGAGGCAATCCTTTTCTGAGACGAAAGGGTACTGGAGACTGTGCTTCTGGGCAGCAAGGCTCCACTAATGCTCTAAAGAGGCAATCATTGGCAGGGTCCCCCATAAGCATGGTATTGTGGTCTGGGGAAAGGAAACCTGCTGCTTTCTAGGTATGATGTGTACCCACACAAACCTATAGTGGAGGCATGCTTTCCCCCCCCATCTACATAGAGATTTTGCACTTTTACCTCTGAAAGTGTCTTGCATTAAAGGTGGGCATGCAGTGTTCTGTACATAACTTTGCCCAGCTGTGGCAACAACCCTTGCAAACCTTCCTCTTACTTTTCTCCAGACTAGTACACACAGGTACTTGAGTGCACCCGTACATGTTGTATCAGCTTTCTCTTCCTCAGGTTTCCTGTACCATTAGAACAGCTCCAGGATGGAAACCAAGACAAAACAATAGTCAGGCCAGAGCCCCGGATCATATTGGGCGTCAGAGAGCTAGTTCCATGCCTGGGTTCAAAGAACGTGATCTACTGCACTGTATTGGCTTCTAGGCTAACCCTGCAACCCTGCTAATTCAATTAGAGGGCTTCCTGATGAAACAATCTATGTACTGTAGGGCTGCAGGCTGCAGCATGACCAAGTCAGGCAAGGACAATGTACCACCTGCAGCCTACTACTCACTGCTTACGGAGAGGGCCTAGACTCCATGCTTCTTCTGCACCTACTAACAGCTTTGGCAATAGCCTAAGCAAATTCTGGGAGAGAATGCATCTTCCTGGTCTGGCTCCCTCTAGGTCTTACTCTAATATTGGATCACAATTCCCCCTCCAAAATGGGAAGGGCACTGACCTACCATTATTTAGCTATTGCTTTCCCAGCATATAGATCTGCTTACAGACATTAAAAACAAAAAACAAAACAAAAACAAAAAAAACTTGCTTTACTGGAAACAGTGTCTTAGTTGGACCCAGCTCTGCAGCATTTGTATAGATTGGGCACTTCAGCAGTGCTTTTTGGAACTTTTATCAAATAGCCGATTCAATGAGTTATTTGATTTAAAAAATGCCAAAAAAACCCCACTAGAGTGTCTGATCTATACATATGTTGGGTGAGCTGGGTCCAACTACTACACTGCCTCTTCTGGGTATGTGCTACGCTTGGTGTAGAAGCATGCCGAGTTTAAAAGTCCAGGGTTTTTTGTTGTGTTTTTTAATATCTGTAAGGAACCATAAGTCTAGAAAGGGGAAGCAAGGTAGGAAGGTCCAGCCATACTGCAAGGGGTCTCTCACATTCATGTGCCCTTCCCACACAGGGAAAGAAATAAATATTGTCTGCACCTCCAGAAATAAGGGCTTACTGACATCATAATTCTTTATTATAAAGATGTATTTACACAGAACAATCTTTACAGACACAGAAGACAGTTACCAACAGGGAACAGTTGTACAGAGTAAGGCATTCCCACTTGGTATAAATTAGTATTATACAAAGAATCATTGACAGCCACCTGAAACATTACTCAAGAGCCAGCTTTTTCCCTGCTTGGCATACCCATGGCTCCACTGGGCCATGCCACTCTCACTCACTCAGTTCCATGGCCCTTGAGTGACTTCAGAGTGATTGGAACTGAGATCCCAAAGGGGAAGACACTCCTAAACAAGGAAGTCGGGGCAGCAAGCTCCTTGCTGGATTAGCCAGTGTCCACTCCAGATCTCCTCTCCCTTGAGAAACCTTGTTCCACCCCTTGTGCAGGGACAAGGGTTCCAGGGCCAGCATCATACTGCAGCAGCACAAGGCAGGGTCCTGGAATCCCAAGTGACAAGGATGCAAAGCTTCCTATGCTCTGGTGCAGTGCCCAGAGGAAGGCCCCTTTTAAAGGGACTAATCCTTCACTCCCTCCCATCACATACAGTATCTCTCCATAGGGACCTTATGATCACACAGCACAGGCAGAGCCACATGGCAGTGGGAAAACACTCCAAGCTCTGTGAGGCTGTACCCCAAGGAGTCTAGAGTACTCCACAGCCTGGTCACTGCATAGGGCTCATCACAGCCCTGTCTCCAGTGACCCAGAAGAGTCGGTGCAAACCACTGACCTGACTGCTTGCTCCTCCCACTCGGTCTCTGACACCAAACCCTGACTTGTTCTCTAACCTGAGGTGGGGGGAGGGAGAAGGGGAAAAGAGGGGGAGGTGGCTTTCAATGACACTGGTGCTGGCGTAGCACCATAAGAATAAATAGACCCAACAAGCTGAAGTTACTTGACAGCACATTTAGACAAGTGTGTACAGCTCAGTCAGGATGGAACAAAAAGCCATTCCTTGGAACCCATAAGGGGTTTCTCCATCTGATGGAAATGCTCCTCAGCCTCAATGGCCTTCTCCTGTCAGCCAAAACCCCCACCTCTACTATGAGCTACCTTCAGAGCTGCAGCAATGAAGCCATCCCCAATGCAGTTGCAGGCTCCTCCACCCAAGGCTCTGCCAGCCTAAAGAGCAAGGCACAGAAGCAAGGGCAGCTTTTTAAGAGGAGGCTGTAAGTGCTTACATAATCAGAGGATCATAGGGTGGTGCTCCCTTGCAGGGGTCTGAGCAAGGCAGGGAACCTCCCCAGCAAGAAGCAGGGGAAAGAGAGAGATGTCCCCCTGCTGCACTATCTGGGCAATGAATCTTCAGAGGAGACAGGAATGCCTGCCCCATCAAGCAGCTCACATTTGAGAGGGGGTGGGAGTAGGGGGCAGTTTCATGGTGCTGACAACTCCAGATAGAACAGCTACATGGGCAAACTGGCAATCAGGAGAGGACTGCACACATCAGCAGGTTGAAGTTCCCATACTCAGGGCTCCAAGACAAGCAAACCAGTCTATGAAGCAGAGAGGACAACTGTGATGGGCCTCAGGAGGGTAGGGGGAGGCAGAAGCAACCCTGCAAATGGAAGCAAGAAGAGAGTCAAGGAGTCTCCCAGTATAGGAGCCATAGTCCCAGCTATCCTGCCCTGCCACCTCCCCAGTCCAGCCCACTTCTGGATCTGTACAAAGAAGAACCCAGTGCAAGGGGCACAGTATTCCAGCCCAGCTCTCCACTTCCCACAGGGCCTATACCCAAAGCCCATCCCCAAAGCAGCAGAAGTCCCATTCAACTTTGCTATTTGACAAAGCAAATAGCTGTTACCCAGGGAACTCTGTCCTCCAGAACAGACACCTCAGTAGTCTCAGGGCATAGAGGCTACCTCAGGGCAGCCCATTCCCTCTAGTGCAATCCCTGGTAGCTATAAGCATCCTGAACAGACACCTTGCACCCACCAAATATGCTTCTGTCCACACCCTACCCTGCACTCATGACAACTGCTTTTAGGGAGGTTCACATCCCACCCCAGACCCAGTGTTGCACGGGAGAAGACAGCCTGGGGCTCGAACAGCCATGTTCTGCTCCAGTTGTTCTCTCCTAGTGCTGGAGCTCCCTCACCCACTTGCATTTCCCTAGATGTGCCCTCCCACACAGTGGAGCTACCACAGCTGTTGAAGCAATCCCATATGGCTCCTCCATTTCCCCTCCAAGTCTGCTTTGTAAGGCTCTTGCTACCCGTGTTAGAAAGGCATGGGGCCCTTGTGGGAGAGACGAGGTCTTGGCCGCCGGTACTTTCGCCAGCCATTCTGCCGGTGTCCTGCTCCATTCCGTGCCCCTCTGGGGTACACCAGGTTACGGATGTTCCCCTCCTCAGGATCCTTTCCATCTGGTGCCTCAGCCAGGGGCCCTGGGAACAGGAGGCAGTGTGTTAGCTGGGACACCTCGGTCTGCACACGGCAGGTCCTCATGGCCCCCATAAGCAAAGCCTGGAGTCTTCTACAGGGAGAGCTGGAAGGGGCCAGTCTGGTCCCCCTCAGAACTAGCTGAGTATCATTGCTCTTGAGGCCAGCTCCCCTAGCCACTGCAGAGGGTCTCTCCTCTGGGAAAGGACTCCACTCCAGGAAGCTCAGCCCTCCTGCCCAGGGTGGGGAGTGTATCTACAGTCCCTCAGAGATCAGCTCACTTCCTTCTTCCTGAGGATGCATCTTGCAATCACACTAGGTAGATATTTTTGGATATCCCCACTGTGGACTCCAAACTTTGTTGCACTGTTTAACCCCATCAGTGCCACACATTCCCCCTCCCCCATGTCACTATCCGCACACACATCTACCCACAATGAAGCAGAGCAGCATCATTTCCTATTTATTTTTTCAGCTCCCTGCCCCACGCTGTCAAACACACAGGAATGGCACCTGCTGTTTCCTCTCTCCTTCTCATGCTGATTTCCTCGACAGGGCCAGGAGAATGGATTTGTACAGGAAGAGCAAAGGAGTCTCAAGCGGCAGCAACCACCTGCTGCCTGAGGAAAGGTGAACAGAGTGGTGATGGGTGTGGGCCCATACCATACAGCCAGTTTCCTGAATTAGCCACAGCAGGAGCCAATCAGCAGTGCAGAGCTTTCTGAAGTAATCCACCCAGGTCACCTGCAGCTTCTGGCACAGTGTCCACAGAGACAGTTCATGGCAGAAGTCACTGATCTGGATGTCCCTGGAGTGGACAGAGAAGCAGCCCCAAGCCCACACTGTGCCAAAGCTCCTGTGCTCTGGATGCCATTCCTCTACCTAGCCTGCAGCTGTCCCTACCCTAACTAGTAGCTATAACCAGTCTGTGCCAGGCAGCCCAGCTACCAAATCCTCTCCTAAGAACCACCCTCTGCACTTTGAGGCAGACAGCTCAAGAACCTAGCATCTCTCACCTCATACAGGACCACCCCTACCTCTGCTCTCACCACTACTCACCTACATGCTGTCTTCCCCTCTCACTCCCCACCTGTCACACACCTCCTTGCCCTGCACAGACCTCACTTCACATGTGCAGGGATTGGGAATGTCTACCACACTATGAAGTCTCAGGAGTTCTTGGGGTGGAGTCAACATTTATACCCGTTACAGCAAATACTGTAGCGCTGGATTCGGCTCGGCTCCTTTCCCCCATTCACCACCTATACTTCTGCTCCATTCCATTACGCTGAAAAACTACTGTTAATTCAAAAATGCCCAGAATTCCAATAAGTCTCTTCCTTACAGATTCTGTGCTTCCCCAGATCCCCTACAGAAGTCACAAAGCTATAATTAGATAGGGGTCCTAGGCTGGGATGCAGTTCCATGTGGGTAGAGCATACAGAAAAAGGACTAGAGCAAACTCCACGTACCCTGGGAATCTTGGGTAGGATCACAACACTGCCCTCTCACCTCCACATCCTCAGCATGGACCTGGTGTAAGGGGAAGGCAGCCTATGCTGCCCTGCTCTGCTAAGACAGCCTCTGGCCATTGCTGTCACACCAGGGCATCCATCAGCAGAAAGGGAAACATGGAACTAGGGCTCCTCCTAGAGATGGGTCTGTGGGGAGCTGCTGCCATGGATCTGCAAGTAAAGCAGAGGGGCCCCTGGTCCCAGCCCCCATACAGCTCCACAGCCTGTGTGCTCAAAGGCTGGGGAGCACACCAGCTCCCAGTGGCAGAGACAGCACTCTGCCCTCTTTCATGTGCTGTTGTTTTGTTCTTCTCTCCAGACTGTTGTGCTGACAGGATGAGGTTTGTTATCACCATGAAAAGCGCTTTGTCTGTGCTGCACAAGGGGGGGGTATCAAATTCCTGTCAACAAGGCACTATCGGAGAGGTGCCGATTAACCTCCATGCTCCCCAGGTCAGCTCTGCATAGTCCTTGCCACACACTAGCTGCTATGGCCACAGGAGGGGGCTAGGACACTGCTTACACCTCAGCAGCCAGGTACAGCCCCTGCCCTACTCGTGCATCTCAGAGCAGCTCTGGAGTCAGCTTCCCAGGGCTCTGCTGGAAACATCAGACACACGGCACCAGTTCTACATCCACTCTGCTGCTGGGATCCTCTAGCACTCAGAGGCAGCTAAGGAAGGATACTTTGGGGCATGTCATGACTTACCGCCCACCCCACTCCCCAGCCTTAACCCTACTTTCTCCTTTATGGCTGGATGGTTTGCGGGGGAGGAAGGGGGGGGCGGTAAGGGGTCCTGGAGCTGTAGCCCTGGAGTCCTGGTCTTCTGTTCTGCAAAAGACTATGACCACCACATTAAAGCATTTAGGAAGGCACCCCAGCACCATAGCCACCAGCCTGCTTAGCAAAGCCTTGCTGTCACTATATGGTACAGCATGGACACTACAAAGAGCTGTTCTTGGAAGGACAGGACTCTGGCACTCAGAGCTAGGACTGGGGCAGAGTAGAAAAATGCAGTCTCAAAGCACCTCCTTGGCAAAATTAAGAGTGGGAACAATCTTTTAATCTTTGTTAGCAACACAATCATCTCCAATGTGTGTAGTGGGGGAAATGCCTTCTCCTAAGAGACAAGGGAAGTCCAGGCTAGTCTCTGGGAACAGAGAACTGGACAGCAGAAGGCCTGAAGCAGGCATTTGCATGAGCTGCTTTCCCTGCAATTCCTGCAAGTAGGTGATGTCCAAGGCTAATTTAGCTGCATGCAATACTAACAACCATTTTGGTTTCACTCACCAGGGTCTTTTGTACAGAGCAGCCACAGTATCCCTCAGAACCTTCTCCTAAAACAAGGAGGAAAGAAGAGTCCCTCCCAGCACTTACTGCCCATCAGGCAGAAGCAGTATGGAAAGATGTTCCTCATGGGGTATTTTCAGAAGTCAACCACCCCTACAGCTGTGGGTTGATTCCAACCCCCCACCCCAGCAGATGGAGGCTTTGGTTCCCCAGTGTGCCCAATTCTCCCTTGGGCTGGGCTACCATGCATGCATTCTGGCTGCTCCGGTTCACTCAGAACCTTCACCATGCTGTAGGCATCAGCAACAACAGCCTTTCCTCTTGGACTCTCTGCCCTCTCCATAACCCCATCCTTCCATGGGACAGCTAAGGGCATTCACCTGTTGTCCACTTGCTTCACTCTCCCTTGATGCTGTACGGTCCCTAGCACTTAGTTAGGTTACATGGCAGTAGTGCCAAGAGGCCTGTCAGGTCATCATCCCAGGCACTGCACATAGTGGATGACAGTCCCTTTCCCAGACAGCTTAACTCTTGTCCTTTTGACCAGAACAGGTGGCCGAGACATACAAGGCAAGCATGGAGTGTGGCGGGCGAGCGGATGTTCAGCTGCGCAGGGCCTTTACAAGGTTGGGCTGTACACATTACACACCCATGCTTAGGGAAGCTACTACCCTGATGCTGCCTACTTTTCTGCTCTAGAGACGCAGATGTCCCTCTGCTTGACTGGCACTATGGCACCTTCCTCCAGGCTCAACATTAGTTAAACTACAGGTGTTGAAGCATCTCAGTGGCTGAATAGAGCTGGTACTCCTTGCTTCCACTCCAGGCATTTCCCAGGTACCCCCTCCACTGTTCTGGTAGGTTGGGGGAATAAGGAAAAATGGAAGTAGAAGGCATCAGACTGCACTGGAAGGCTGGCTTAAAACTTAGGGAGCAACATTACTGAATGAGTCCCAGATAGCCTCTGTGACCCACCTTCAGCCTGGGGCCAGAGCCAGAAGCTACAGGATCCCAGCTACTCAGGCAATCCTGGCAGTACTTGGCAAGTGGCAGCTGCCAGCAGACAATTGAGTGGGAGCCAGTTTAACAACTAGCGTCACCAGGCTGACAGTGAGCACCCCTTACTACAGACCAGACTCAACTGGGACCTGTAGGTGATAGACAGTCACCACACCAGGCAGTCTCAGGAGTGAGCCAAGCCCCAAGCTGTGCCTAAGAGACTGGCCTTGACTGCAAGTCACTGTGGGCAGCAGCTCTGTCAGGGGGATCCCTAACACTCAGGATCAGGTGTGCGTCTCCCCACCTCGCCTCCCTGGCTCAAGAGCACCAAGCAGCACGTCTCTAGTGGACTACCCCGTGCCTTCAAGGTAGGTCTCTAAGGGGCTACAGGGTCCCTTTAACCCTCTGCCTCCAGGGGCTGGTTTCACCCCCCGCATAGGTGCGAGCTCCGCACACCTCCAGGCAGCACGTGCCCGTGCCCCCGCCCCAGTGCCTGGCACCCCCAAGGGCCGCCTCAAGCCTGCGCTGTCGGGCGGCTCGGGGCTGGACTGGCTCCGGAGCTGCAGGCTGCTCCGAGCCCGCCTGCGGGGTCAGGGCGCCGGGGCC